CAGCCATCAATGTTCGGAAATTGCTTCTTTAAAATGTCTTGTGATTCATTAATAAAGTTGTCGTCAAGGCGACCGTTACTTCGGATTGTATTACGATCTTTTTCAAGGACATTAACTTTAACAGACTTGGTTAGTTTTGTCGAAGTGTTTTTGTCCCCTTTTACGGCACCAGATCGTGTTTGGGTGTGACTGTACTAAATGATAGTAGATCTTTAGTCTTGAGCTGTCAAATGATGTTTTCAGCTCAGTACCGTCTTCGTTTCGGAGATTGTAGAGACCCTTTGGTAACACCTTGCTGATGGTATAAGGACCTGACCACGCCCGCTCCAGTTTGCCTCCTTTTCTTGCCTCGTTCCGTAAGTTTCTCAGCAACACAGTGTCGCCCTCCTTGAATCCTAGTGGCTGGTGCTTTGCATCCTACGACTTCTTTTGCCGCTCTTGTGCTTTGTCAATGTTCTTTATTGCCTGAACCTTCTCCTGGTCTCGAATGTACATCATGACATGAACTTTCTAATTAAATCGGCGGGTGCATCTCCGATTTTTTCAGAGAGTGAGTCAGTACTGCTAGGCTTTGGCCTGATTTCCGTCTCCATGAGTAGCACGGGTGCACGGCCAAACATTAACTCGAACGGTGTGAATTTGGTGGAGCCATTGTTATTGGTTCGATAGGCGAACAGAATGGACTTGATGTGCACATTGTTGAAGGCCTAGATGTAATAACTGTCCTAAATGAAATAAAGTCCTAAATGTAGTAACATTTGGTCCTAAATGTAATAACATTTGGTCCTAAATGTAATAACATTTGGTCCTAAATGTAATAACATGTAATAAGTGTTGGAGTAAACAAGTCATAAACCAAATTACAAACTTGGACAAGGGAGTCTGCTGACTTGTAGGTAGGACAATTTGCAGGCTCGGATATACATTTTTTGTCTTTCCATGCCTGAATAGACCTTGTTACCATGCACATTTTGTTTCCCAATTCGGGCCTCTAGAGAATTATTACTTTCAAATTCTCGAATATCTTCATGAGTATATGAATATAGACAAAATAATTTTTCTCCCCAAGAGAACATAACTGGAACAATTATGTTCTCTTGATCTTGAAATGCACGTAACAAATCCGACAAACGGATAAAGTATTGCATGTGTCTGCATCAAATTATATACTCAGCTAGTTACATTTTTAACAGGTGTAAATGCAAAGAAGCTGCTGACCAGCACATTATCGCAAATCATCGGCTCAGATTTTCAATCACAAAACAGACATTTAACAAAAATTTGGGGCATGTCATGAACGAGCTCACCGACGAAAATTTTTTGGGCTCCAAAATTACAAAGGCACTTGTTACTTAAAAAAGTTCCAACTGCCGAGGTCGTACTGTAATTCGAAATAAGCAACAGGTCTTTTTAGCGCATACTTGTCACTCTATTACGTTTCATATGAGGCCGGAAACAGTCACACGAGGGATATATGATAAACATTAAAAATGGCTCTTTATGTTGAAGGCTTTAAATGATGTCCCGGTCCCCAAAACCTCAAAACCGCAAAAAATTGTGCCCTTGCTCTCTCTGATATGTGAGTACATCTAATCGCGTGAGCCGTTTCTTAACGGATATGCTAATTGATCAGTCAAAGAATTAAAAAAAAAGTACGGAAACAGGGATTGCTCGATGCAATGATCTCCTTAACGATCAGACATTAGATAAAGTAGCACGAACTGACTCTGAAACTGACTTTTCTTCTACTGAATCGGCACTATGAAAATGACATGCGCGTAAAGAGCATAACTTTCCAGTTTCAAAAAAGCTGGCAGTAACACAAAGATTTTCCCAGCAAATTTTTAGGAGTAAGTCGAGCTGAAATACGAACTATTCTAAACATAGACAAAAGTAATCATCGCCGAAATGCTAAGTTTCTTAATAAAGCGAAACTGACACCCGTCAGAGCCAGAGACGTTCATGTCAGGCACCAAATAGATTTGATGGATATGAGCAGAAAAGGATATGATCTTCAAAAGATAGGTCAGGACGGTGTAAAGAGGGCGAAACAGCTCCCTCTTTATCAGAGAATTCTAAATAACGACCCCAAGGAGGTGATAGCTTACAAAACACCATTTGAAATATACTTTGTACGAAATTGTAACGCCTTCGGAGAGAGCAGATTACAAGAAGAAATCCTTCCTAGTGCAGGGAGGGTTCGCCGAACTAAGAATTACAATCCTCCTAGAGGTGGCGATTGCCAATTTGCTGCTCTACTGCACCAGGCAAAGAGAATGGGCATTTTAAGATCTCCTGAAACCATGAGGAAAGAAATAGTAGAGTACTTAAAAAGTAATCCGTTCGATAGCAATGGCTTCCCTCTTTTGGAGCATTCGGCAGAAGATGAGGTCGCTTGCTGACTATATAACTCATATGGCGCGCGATGGGACCTATGGGGATCAGATTACGCTGTATGCAGCAGCAAACTTGTATAAAATCGACATCCAAATAGTTTCCTCTCTAAGAGTTGGTGGGCAGCATGCGTTCAATCCGTCAGCAAGTGTTTCAGCAGCTACCGTGTACCCTGGACATTTTGCTGAGAACCAAGGCGAATGATATGTGAGCTTGGAACAAGTTGCCGATCACCGATAGGCCTATCTTGCCCGCTCGGGATTGGCTGCATTGATCCCGCGCAAGAAAACTTCGTTCGTAACTTTTGGACGATGTCGACATATACATAGAAAATATAAAACGACCCTCCTAGGTTTTTCTGTGCTACAAACACAGTCAGCTTTCACTCTCGGCTCTCGAAATAAGTCATTCTTGATTCTTATTAAAGCGAAATCTTTTTCTGTACAATGGATCCTTTATTGATTAAGCTAAGAAAATATAAACTCTCTCGACCAAGCTTTTTCGGTCAAAAAAAAAAAAAAAAGAACTCGGCCAATATCCAGCCATTTTGATCTCACGCTTGGTCAATAGCACAGATGAATATATTTCATGCAGACCCATACAAATCTGGCAAGGGAAGACAGTGCAAAAAACGCGCTTCCGAGCCCGGAATTTGTCTAAGGTATAGGTCAGTGCACTTCCTTTTCCTTGCAATTCGGTTCATGAAGTGTAAACTTCAGCACTGATCATACGAGAATATCGTCAAAATCTGTTGCACTAATTAAAGAGTCTGAACCAATTATATAAAGAGAGCTATTGGTCAGCGTTCTAATTGTTTTTACGTTTGTCAATTTGATGTCAAAAGCACATCAGTATAAGGTTTTGTACGAAATGCTTCTCAACCTTTGTCTTTAGCAAACAAAAAGACGCTGATTGATATCAGCAAGCCTGCAATATGCCGTCAATATTGGTCTTAGGATTCTTTGGTGCAACAGCTGTCACTTTAACATCTCAATGTGGATGTCCGCTATAACAACAATGCACCGGCGCAGTGAAACGATTACATCGAAGGCTTATTACATTTAGGACTTTATTACTTTTAGGAGAGTTATTACATTTAGGCCTTCAATATACATCCCAGTCATCTTGGTTGTCGTTCACGAAGTACACTAGGGCTCTCGTTAGCGTCTGATTCATTATTTCATCAAGACCATGCGGGTGGTACACCGCACTGATCCTGTGGTCCGTGCCACACAACTTAAACAGCTCCTCGTTGACCCTGTTGACGAATTCTTGGCTCTGGTCGGACATCACAATTTTCGCCACTCCGTATCTGGTGATCAGGTTGTACAGGAAATCCGCCACACCTAGAGGACCCATAAATATTTGTCTAGCAGAGCAAGTCAAGTTTAAACCAAGCTTGAACTTGACTCAAGCAAGCATAAAAAAAGCTATCAATATCTAGTAACTGCTACATTTTGCAAAAAAAAAAGTTTTGGCATCGTCAAAATTTAAAACGGTAAAAACGAACGATAAAATCCGACGTTTCGGAGTAGTCATGACTCCATTATCAAGGTAAAAGTTTAAAACATGCAAATAACAGTATTTAAGCGATGTGGCGCGAAAAATTAACATAATAGGTGCGAAGATTATACAAATACTTTCGCACGAATAGAGTCCGATTGCACGTTCAGGTTTGGCTTTAAAGTTCTTATATGAAGCATTTCGTACAATAAGCAGGAAAACATGAAACAATTGAGATACTCGCGAACAGAGCTTTTGACAACGACTTGTTTAATTCAACCTATGACCTGAACCTGACCAAAACGGACCTTGTTGACCTTCTCAGTGTAGCTACAAAAGGACAACTCTTCCAGTATAATGGAGCACTTTACGAACAGACGGATGGCGTGGCCATGGGTTCCCCCCTTGGTCCCCTGCTAGCTAATGTGTTCATGTCTTCAATTGAAGAAAACCTCGAGCGAGAGGGTAAACTTCCTTCCTTCTATCGAAGGTACGTTGATGATACACTTACTATCATGCCAAATATCGCAACAGCATCTAACTTCCTGGACACTTTTAACAAGGCACACTCTTCCGTAAAATTTACGATGGAAACTGAATGCAATGGCATGCTCCCTTTTTTGGGCATCCAGTTACTGAACCGATCGCCCCAAATAGAGACAAAGGTGTACGTAAAACCCACGAATTCAAGTCTCCTCTTACATTACCAAAGTCACGTTGACAATCGGTACAAACAGGGTTTACTCCGAACTATGCTGGGCCGAGCACATCGTTTATCTTCTTCTTGGTCACACTTCTCAGACGAAAGTGACCGATTGAAGACAGTATTCTCGCGTTTAAAGTACCCCAAACACCTCATCGACTCTGCCACCAAAAATTTCGTCGACTCAAAGGTTTGTGACCAGCAGCGACCATTATTACCAACCAAAGAGACGGATGACACAATTCGAGTGGTTCTACCATTTAAAGACCAAACCTCAGAAAATTTTGTGAAAGGACAACTCAAGGATCTGAGCCTAAAAGTGAACACCAACATCCAGCCCGTATTTGTCAGCCGAAAAATTGATCAAGAACTGAATGTGAAAGAAGCAAAGCCATCGATCGTAAATGAACAGTGTGTTGTTTATAAATACCAATGTGACCTGTGCGGTGCAGGTTATATAGGATACACACGCGGACATTTACACAATCGTGTAAAAGGACATAAACAACAGTCCTCAGCCATTGCCAAACATTGCAAGAACGTACACGGGACGATCCCTCAGGACCTACTGAAATGCTTCGAAGTTCTTAAGAAGTGCAGGAACAAATTTGACTGCTTATTGTATGAAATGCTTCATATAAGAACTTTAAAGCCAAACCTGAACGTGCAATCGGACTCTATTCGTGCGAAAGTATTTGTATAATCTTCGCACCTATTATGTTAATTTTTCGCGCCACATCGCTTAAATACTGTTATTTGCATGTTTTAAACTTTTACCTTGATAATGGAGTCATGACTACTCCGAAACGTCGGATTTTATCGTTCGTTTTTACCGTTTTATCTTTTAAGAAATCTTTTCGTCAAAATTGTTGCAAATTTTTGATATTTGTGACAGGCTATACGCAAGGAAAATCATGTAACTGAACTTCCATCAGAAGGATTATTTTGCGCGCCTATTCTAAAACGAGCATGTTGAATTACTTTCCTTAATAGATTGACAATTAACGTGATAAATAATTATATAACAACATGTGCTAAATATCCTTAAATCTCAGTACTCTACAATTAATTTCGGATATTACATAACTCCAGCCGATTTCTCTTTAAGAGGAGCTGCCTCTGGCCACTTGCTGAAATAGCAAGTACAGGTGATCAAGTACTTATTGCCACGGAACGTTTCGGGCATATGTCCTACCAGATCGATACCAATCCGATGTCACACAGTCTCCTTTACTTTAATCAGGCATAGCTGGGCAGGCTTTTCGAATTTCTTTGAAGTACGCTGGCAAACATCGCAACGCTTGACAATTTCAGTCCTCCAACAATCGAACCCAATAGTAGCGAGATGCAACCTGGAAGAGGAACAGGAACACAAAAGTTAAGAGCGATCAACTAAATTATAACCACAATTTTAAAGTTCAAGAGAAGTATCTCTGAATTAAGTACAAACCTTTTCTCTCGTCTTGTCACGGCCGATGTGACCAGCAAGTTTGTTAGAGTGACAAGCTTTCAGTATTTGCTGCTGCTCGTCTCGGCTGTGAACCCATCTTTCAGGCTGACCATTTTTCTGACCAATAAAAAACAGCGCACCATCTTCAAGAACGAATTTTTGGGCTTCCTTGCGTAAATCTCTTTTCTCTTTCGAAAAATCGATTGGATGCTCGTTATGGCGGAGATAGTGAAAAAACTTCGTTGTAAACTTTCGCTTCGGCCATCGCTGACGGAAGGAATCACGAGAGTAAGAGCCCGTTTACATGGAGGTGGGGGACCCCAGGTAAGTGAGGTAACCCGCCTAGCCGTGGTCGAAAAAAAAACGCGTCTACATACAATCTTACAACCCCGGGGTGCTGAGGTGAGGTTTCTTGAGGTTGTTGTTGCGCTTGAAATTAAAGAGTTTGAGCAGAGGCGTCCCAAGCTCTCATCTCGAGAAAGATGAAAAATTAATTCTCGGGCACATATATATTTATTCATGAAAGCGTCACGCTTTGTGTTACGCGGTGTTAGGTTACGCGAGAACCCGTTGACTTAATACGTTATACGGAATAGTTTGGGAAACGAAATATGGTCGATTTAAAACGCTAAATATTCCGAAATGTGAACATTTTACTCTCCTTGTGTGTCCGTCGTGGTTTCTGGTGATTTCTGCCATGAGACAGCTAAGAAATGTCTAAAGTTTCAAAACATACATGTTTCGCTTTTGAGCTTTTTGCCATGAGTGCGACCCCGGGTAGGTGGGTTACCCCACCTTGAGACGTTTACATGGCAAATTGTCACCCCGGCTGATCAGGTTACCCTATCTGGCAGACTGGGAGACCCCCCTGGGTGGTCACCCCACCTGTCATGTAAACGTGATCAAGATAGTGTAAGAAATTACATGGACAGGCGGGTTACCCCACCTAAGCGGGTTACTTCACCTACCTAGGGTCCTCCACCTCCATGTAAAGAGGCCCTAATAACAAAGTAGAATGAAACCTTTTGCAGTAGGCGGAGCAACTGAATTCAGTTGTGGAGCACACAGTAACAATAACATAAATTACCCAGTGCCGATAAGGCGTTCCACGCACATGAACTTTTCTCCACAAAAACGATTAATTAGCGCCTCAAGCGACTTAGTGTCTAGTAAATATTTTATCACTTCATAGCGATAATTTGTCAAGGGTGAAAGGCAGTATTGATAAATTAGTTTTCTGACTGGCTTTTGGTGCTTACGGCTTTGCTTTCGTTAAAAAGAAACATCAGACCAGGCACTCTAATCAATATGATTTTTACGCTTTGAGCGTCGTGAAAACCTTTTATTCAAAGTTTTCACCTAGTTTTTAACATAGCAATGACTTGCGGTACATATTTTGACGAAAAGCACTCGATTCCAAGTTTCCCACCTACCTGAGCTTAGACTGTCTAGAAACGAAAAATAAATAGTGACTTTATTCAACGGCACTGTTAGAAAGACTGCGATATATTCCGTGCTCGGCTTAAGAGCAAAAATAATCTATTTGACACATGCTCGAGAAAAAAAAAGAAAAGAGATAACTTCTATGTGGTCTAGCATCTATTTCAGGTTATTATAAATCGACTCGACCGAACGCTAACCAGACAAAAAAACCTAAAAGGACTGTTAGTTTAACTTATTTTTAATCAATAGGAATATAACCAGTAACACAAACGCAAATGGATGCAAAGTTTAGTGCATTCTCAGCTTACGAGCAAAAGAAAAGTCTCAACGTAGTGGGTAAAGCAAAAGAATTTCGTTGAGGATCAACACGAACAGTGGATTCCCGATTTTTCGAGCCTCCATAGGAAATGAAAATCAGTTGGATTAGTTAGGTTCACCAGGGGAAGGGGAACAACTTTTGGTTCAAGTTATCAAGAGTTACGACAAATCGAGAACCCGAGCAATCTGGATTCCAATGGAGTGAAAATAATTAAAGTTTTCACGCGTTTCACACTTATTGTTAGCATATCTATCATTTCATGTTTCACAACTTTTTTAAGAGAAGAACAAAAAATCAAACGTTAGCAAGTTTCACAGTTTGTTTTTATTCCAGAGGTTGGCGCTTTCGCTCGGGTGAACGAAAATCCTAAGTTGAGGCGGAATGCTGAGAACAAGACAACATCAATACGCATGTTTTGAATTAAAACATACTTTAGTATTCACTGGAACGTAAAGCATTATCTATTTCTACTAGTACGTTAAGGTTAATATTTAACTCAGTTTTGTTGGGTTTGGACCGGGGGGTTCAAATCTAAGGGGGGATGGGGGTTGGAAATCCACTATGACACCGGAATGTTAAAGTCGTGCCAGAATTTTTCAGTCGTGCTGGATAGTTGAAGTTGAGAAGGAAATTAGTTCACTTTTAAGTCAGATTCTACTAAAGTTAAGAAACGCGTTGGAATATTGAAGTCGTGCCAGAATTTTTCAGTCGTGCTGGTTAGTTGAAGTCGAGAAGGAAATTAGTTCATTTTTAAGTCAGATGTTGCTGAAGTTAAGAAACGACCTGATTGCGCCAACAATACGTGACTGTCAGATTAACATTTGACGGTAAATAGCTGGTTGGATCCCAAAGATGTTAAGCGTTAATGCCTAATCAGTTAAGTTCTGTCTCTGGAGAGTATCACAGAGATGCAAACCTTGCAGCCGGGGAACTATTCAGCTCTATTTCTAAGCATTAATCTGCGTTATTCCAATATGTTCTCTTTTCGTTGTTGCCATGTTTGTAAATTTATAATACGATGCTTATATCAGTTTGAGTCAATAGAATGTGCTATTATAAAATAAAGGAATTGAAACTCAATGTATTATTGAGTATATTTGCTATTATCAAACATACATATCCAATGTGTTAAAATAAAAGTTACTAAGATTCATTATCATAGGAAACTAATAAATTACCTTCCAGCGACTTGTAGTCCCCTGAAATGAAAACAAGATGACTAATTACGATAAGGTTTGCAAAATCATCTCCGTCCCTAAATGAAATGATATTATAGAGAACCTGGTGTCTAAAGGGTGCATAATTTTTTCCAAGCATTAACCCCCAGACTGATGCTGCAAGGGTTATTTATCGCGGAAAAGTCTGGTAATTTACATTAAGCTCCTCTGCCAAAAAAAGCCAAAAGGAACTTATTTGCTCTAACTTTTAAAGTCCAAAAGTACTCCAGACGGGGAGTGTGTTCAAAGTGTGCAAAGTCTTGAAAAAATTCAAAGGTTGGAGGACCTGCATAGCCTCTCCATAAACTTCTGCCTTACAAAGTTCGTCTGAACAGTCGCACGAGCATTTGTTCAAGTATTGCATTCCTTTGCTAATTGATTTCCAAACACACTTGTTTGGATATCCAAACGCGTATTTTTGGATATATGAAATAATTATATGAGCCTAAACACAATCCTTATTGCTATTTTTAAGCAGGATTTACTTATTCATTTGCCGTTCACCGTTGTCGTATGAAACGCCATTCTCAACTTCCCCGTAAATATGTTACATTGTCAATATATGAAACTTGCTGATGAGGAAAGTTAAATTAAAAATAAAAACGAAATAAGTAATTATGTACTTATGTAATTATAAATCATCGCACTAATCTATTAATTTTACGGAGACCACTCATGCACAAAAAACCTGGCTGAATATAGATCCATCGCTAAATATCTATTTGCAAGATGGAGTAGAACATGCATAAAAAGAGAGTTATTAAAGATCGACTTTTGTAAAGTCCAAAGAGTCCCCTCGTCCCTTTCAAATTCCTGAGCGCATATCACACATAGGAAAGAGGCGCATAAAGGGAAGGGATGGGGGAGCTCACATGAATTTCACTTTAGTTAGTGAAAAAGATGCAAGGTAAAAAAAAAAAGTAGTAGCAGCATCATATTGTTCCTTGAGCTGCTACACACTGGAGATGAAAAGCTAGAGCATAAAAAAAAAAAAAAATTTGGGAGACAGCTGAAATAAATCTATGTTCTAAAAGCCTAAGAGTGAAAAAATTTAATTCACATTTACAACCGCAGCCTATTGTATTTGTGTTACTTCCAACTCTGAGAAGTCAACCGTCATCCCACACACACAAGTTCGTAATAGATTATACATACGCTATACAGGAAAATATATATTGTAAATTTTGATGTACCACGGTCCCGCCGAAAACGACTACACTCACAAAAAAAATGTAACAGATTTTTATCCGAAATTTCATTTTCCTTTTAAGACAGCGAGCTCTGGAGAAAGCACTATGGCATGAAGCGCCATAGCATGAACCGCCATAGCCTTCAGTCTGTGACAACTGTCAATATTCAACTTGTATACCAACTGAGA